GACGGATGTGCTGTATGCAGGGGCATTCATAGAACCTGTGGTACAATTTTTTAACCCGCACAACAAACACCTGTCATGCTGACTCTTGCGATGACTGAGCAATCTCGATAGTGTCCACTGGCTGCCGCCACCGAGGCTAGGAAACGGCGCTTTATGGTGCGTGCTCCAGGTATCGCAAGTCGTTTTGTAGAGCAACCACACAAGAGGACCCCGGCGCAACTGGCTGACCCAGGCCCCCGGCAGTCGCTTCATCGACAAAACGTCCGATGCAGCCAGTGCGGTCTCTCGAGCTCTCTCGCCCAGAAAATCCGCCTTGAATTCCTGAAAGGAATACTCGATGCCCAAAAAATTAACTACAAACGCAGAAGTCATCGACTCCCGCCCCAGCCAGAGCCAAGAGGGTCGCCTGCGCGGGGTCCGCGCGCCGGGCCCATGCCCTGGGCCTGCTCAACAACCCTCGGCCGGCTTCCCAAACGGCCCTCATGGGCCCGAGCCCTGGGAGGTCCGAGGCGGCCGCCAGGGCCCAGCATTCCACGACTTCGACGACGCGACCGCGGCGAAACCCTTGGACGCAGGCCCGCCGAGGAGCCTGCAGGAAGGCGGCCCTTCCGCTCTCAGGGCCGACGCCCTCGAGGCATGCAGCTTTCGGTCCGCGACCCCCATCGCAGCCGAACCCCGAACCGCAGTGGCCGTTGGAGACCCCCTCATAACTGTGCTGACGTCAGCCCCTGCCGCCCGCAACTGCAGCGCTTTGGCAGTCGCGCGCCGAGCATTCTTGAAATGCTCGTCCTGCTCAGAAATTCGCCTCGCGCTGCCGTCGTTGGCGTCCGCGCCAAGACAGCGAGAGCGTCTAACGCTCGTTCAGACTGGTCGAAAGCTCCGATGTCGACGCAAGATAGCCTGTTTTATTCCAATTGACGCGAAAGTCCTTGGCCTCCAAGCCCTGGCCTGACGCCGTCATAGCCTCGGGGAACTGGTTAACTGCGCATTCGAAGCTCCCCGCCGATTGCAATGCAAAATCACACACTAAGTTCTGGAACCTGACCGCTGGACATTGCACATGCAACTTTGCAAGCAACGCGTGAATCAGGAGCCTCGCGTGGGCGAGCGCTCCCGAGCACCCAGCTGCCGCTGTGCCATTGGCTTCGATGACCTCCGATATAGCTATCTGCCAGCAGGCCCTGCGAAGAAACCTGTGCGCCGCGCGCAAGCAACGCGGGCGCCTCAGCGGAAAGCTGGTCTTGATTGCCTCGGCCTGGAGCTCGGCATGTGAAATGCATTCGCAATTTCGTAAGATTTAACATGCCACTGGCCGTGCTGATACCCTTGAGAAGGATGTTGCGCGCGTGCCCTGATCGGCGACGCGCATAGCCCGAATCTCCCCCCAGAAGGCCGGGCCGCCCAATGGTTCTCCCTGCGGCGGGCGACAGGCCGACGAATCCTCGACCGCGCGCGACATCACGGCGAACAGAGAATGATGGCTCTCACACCTCCTGGGGGACTGGGCTTACTCAAGAAAGACACTACCAAAGTCCAGAGACTGATGTTCTGCAGCTGCTGCTCCCAATTATGCAATATATCCAGGGGCGCTGCTTCTAGCTGACAGGGTGCCGAGAGACTTGCCGAGGGTGATATCTGCCCCAGCCCAGGCCGCAAGTCGCACGATATGTAGCTAGAGTCCAAGCTAAATCATCCAGGGTTAGAGGGGGCAGCAGCGCAAGAAGGTCAAGCACCTGCCGGTCCCTCGCGATCCCCGGAGCAACATCGATTCGTCTGTCGAGCCACTGGAACTTCCAATCTACCGGGTGACCCTCATGAGCTCGACCCGCCTGGGCCCGCAGAGGCCCCCGCTGCAACGTGATCTGTTTGAACGCCTGAGAACTGGCTACTGGCAGCGAAATGTTGGACTCTTCGTCCACAGCGTGCACTTGCGATTGTTCTGCCGTGTCACGGGCGAACCTGTAAGCTGCGCTGCCGCCGTCGTTCGTGGCAATCACCTGCGTCCAGGACCTCCAGTCTTGAGCTGCATCGTAAGGAGCTTCTCTGCATCTGAATTGACTGGGCCTTGGCACCCCCCGAAGAACAATTGACATCATTTATCCTTTGAGACTGCCCTGGCGAGAGCAGGTCCACAATGTCCGATCGCGCCGAGCGCGCGCAGAGGGCCAATGGGGCCCTCAACGGGCCCCGGCCCGACATCGACACGGCCAAACGTAACCTTCTGGCGGCGAAGGCAAGCGAGACCTGGCTCTCGTCGAACTCTGGCAGCGGCTTCTATGGTGCACGGGCGCAAGGCCGGCGGACAAAAAAAACGGGCCAAGCATCGATACTCTACAGAAGTGTGCTGCTTGAGAGCTCTGTCCCAGGCCGTCGAAAGGCTCAGTGACGGCGCGAAATCCGCTCGCGCGCCCTCGCCAATGAGCCTGGCGCCAATCCTTCAAATCGTGCTACTCAGCCGGATAAGCTTCCGCGTGGTTGAGCCAGACAGCACGCGCCTCGC